ATCCGACAATACCTTTTTAATTCTATGCGCTATACATTTTGCTAGAATTTTTGCATCACAACACTGAAGTGTAAGGGGCCTCCAATTTTTTATATGGACTGGATCTTTTTATTTTCCACTTGTATCCTGTTTCACTAATAATGAGATCAGACCTTCTTCTTGAGTGTCAGATAATCTACCATTTACATAGGAGTGGTTAAAACATGCTAATAACGGTCCTCTTAGTATATCAAAAAAGGTTTGGTATACCTCGACTGGTATGCCATCCAACCCTGGAGTTTTCCCGGACTTAAAGTCTTTAATTGCATCCAGAAGTTCCTCCTCTGTAATTTCAACTTCACATGAGTCTTTCTGTATGGCTGTTAATTTTACATTATCAATAGAAAAAAATCTCTACAATTAGCTTCAGTTAGAGGAGATGGAGGCGACTGAAACGAAAACATATGCTTAAAGTACTTTGTTTCCTCCTTCAAAATATAATTTGGTGAATCATGGGTTACTCCATCAATTGTAACCAGTTTCATAAAATTATTTTTGGTAGCATTCCTATGTTGAAGATTAAAAAAGAATTTGGTGCATTTTTCCCCATATTCCATCCAGTTTGCTTTATTTTTATAATATATTACACCTGATCTTTCTTGAATAAGTTTCTCCATTTCTTTTTGTTTTTCCTCTAATTTATTCTGAGCGTCTATGTTACAGTTTTTGTTGCCATCTATCTGTTCTGTTAGACTTTCTATTTCCTTTGTTAGTATAAACTCTTTTGACCTAAATTGCTTTTGTTTTCGAGATGAGTACTGAATTGCATGGCCTCTAAAGGCACATTTAAAGGTGTCCCATACAATAAGGGGATTTGCTGTACCTATGTTATGTCGGAAAAAGTAAGTTATAAATTCCTTTGTCCTAGTTAAAAATAAATTATAATCCAATAGGCTTTGATTACATTTCTAATATCCTCGCCCATGTGGAAATTCAGTAAGAGTAATGTATATGCCAATTATATGATGGTCCGACCGCATTCTGTCCCCTATCAACAATTTTTAAACTTTTGGTGCCAACGAGAATGAGATAAGAAAGTAATTAAGACGACTAGCTTGATTGAGTCTCCGCCATGTATATCTCACTAGATCAGGATATCTAAGCCTCCATATATCTACTAGTTCTAATGTATCCATGACATTCACGATTTCCTTAAGAGCATGTGGGTGATTGTTTGTGGTGTGATTTCCTTTACGGTCCATTGAGCTATTTGAAACAGTATTATAATCCCCCACCATAATAATATTGTCTTAAATTGCTTGCAGGGTTGATAATTTATTATATACAGTGGGGAGAACAAGTATTTGATACACTGCCGATTTTGCAGGTTTTCCTACTTACAAAGCATGTAGAGGTCTGTCATTTTTATCATAGGTACACTTCAACTGTGAGAGACGGAATCTACAACAAAAATCCAGAAAATCACATTGTATGATTTTTAAGTAATTAATTTGCATTTTATTGCATGACATAAGTATTTGATACATCAGAAAAGCAGAACTTAATATTTGGTACAGAAAACTTTGTTTGCAATTACAGAGATCATACGTTTCCTGTAGGTCTTGGCCAGGTTTGCACACACTGCAGCAGGGATTTTGGCCCACTCCTCCATACAGACCTTCTCCAGATCATTCAGGTTTCGGGGCTGTCGCTGGGCAATACAGACTTTCAGCTCCCTCCAAAGATTTTCCATTGGGTTCAGGTCTGGAGACTGGCTAGGCCACTCCAGGACCTTGAGATGCCTCTTACGGAGCCACTCCTTAGTTGCCCTGGCTGTGTGTTTCGGGTCGTTGTCATGCTGGAAGACCCAACCACGACCCATCTTCAATGCTCTTACTTAGGGAAGGAGGTTGTTGGCCAAGATCTCGCGATACATGGCCCCATCCATCCTCCCCTCAATATGGTGCAGTCGTCCTGTCCCCTTTGCAGAAAAGCATCCCCAAAGAATGATGTTTCCACCTCCATGCTTCACGGTTTGGATGGTGTTCTTGGGGTTGTACTCATCTTTCTTCATCCTCCAAACAAGGCGAGTGGAGTTTAGACCTAAAAGCTCTATTTTTACCTCATCAGACCACATGACCTTCTCCCATTCTTCCTCTGGATAATCCAGATGGTCATTAGCAAACTTCAGACGGGCCTGGACATGCGCTGGCCTGAGCAGGGGGACCTTGCGTGCGCTGCAGGATTTTAATCTATGACGGCGTAGTGTGTTACTAATGGTTTTCTTTGAGACTGTGGTCCCAGCTCTCTTCAGGTCAATGACCAGGTCCTGCCGTGTAGTTCTGGGCTGATATTGCAGATAGATTGTTACTTCCATCAATGTAATTGTCTGCATCACTTCCAATCCCCCATGTTTTTTATACATATATACATACTCATACACATACACATACATACACATACATATCCTTTAAAAATATATATATATTCCCCTTTATTACTTTCCAACCCCGCCACCCTTTCTCCACTTGGAGTCAACTACTGAACAACAACGCCTAGGCCTCTACTTCCATCCCATATCTACTATCTATATTTTATGCACACAGTCAATTTTACAGTAATTACATTTTGTTTGTTCTTTCTCCTGAATTTCTTCTACTCTCAACCTCTCCGATCATTTTCATGATGTCCATCCGGTTTGCTTCTATATGCCATATCTTTCTAACTGTGCTCCTTCACAAAAGCTCCCAACCTACAACCCATACATTTATTATGGACACAGCGTGCCTACATTATTAGTTATCTTGTTATTGTTTGTTGTTAGTTGTTATTAGTCCCATCCTTCAATTCCATTCAACACCTCCCATCAATCTTTTAACACCATCCATATAGGATTTCTATTTGCCATATATATTTCAACTGTACTGTGATGTCTTACAAAAGTTCTGAACCTTTCTTTTCTCATTGTTTCTACAGATTGTGAATTGAAAATATATATTTTTTGCTAATAGTATTATTATGTTATTGATCGATTGACTATGACTTTTCAGATCACCCAGTAGTGCTATCTGCAGGGTTAGCTCCAGGTAAATATTGCAATCCTTTAGCCATTCCTGGACCTGTGTCCAAAAAAACAAGCTACAAATGGACAGTACCAAAACAAATGATCTAATGATTCTTTCTCTTCGCAGCAAAATCTGCAGAGCTGGGAAGATTGTATCCCCCATATAAAAAACATTCAATTGGTAGCAAGAATTTTATATAATAATTTAAATTGAAAGATTCTAAGTTTTGAATCCAGTGTCATTTTGCGTATCAGTTCATAAACACTATGCCATGGGATCGGTACGTCAAAGATCTCTTCCTAACTATTTTGCAATCTATATGGGACGGCTGTCAATCCTTTGGTCCTTAAATGAAACTGATATACCTTTATATTTATCACAGTTTTCCATAACCAATTATGTTCTTTAATGCAAGGCCGACAGACAAGTTCCTTACTTTCTCCTCCTTCCATTTCCTCTTCCATTTTTGCGGTAAGGCTGCAATTATTTGGTTGTAATTTTGGGTAGAGCAGACATTTGCATATGTTTTTGTTAGCTGCATGTGCGACATAACTCCACCAGTCCTACCGATGATATAATTTACAAAGATTCTACCTTTTTTTTTAAATGTTATCAAAAAAATAACTCATACTTATACTTGTACTTAGTCAATTGAAAATGTGCTTAAAGTTTTGAAAAAACAACCTTTTTGATGATATGTTTTGAGTTTTGTACTAAGAGTTGTGAAACGTTACAACATATGTATGAAAATTGTACCAAAGCAAAAAACAATGTGTGTGAGTTTGAGTGTGAAGTAGTTTGCTGTGTTGGATGCATTGCTCAGTAGTATAACATGACGTCGTGGAATGAGTTTAGCTGAAACTTGCAGCATTCTGGTAATGCAGATTCCTGAATTAACTTTAACACTTTGGCTTGGAGGACATCTGTGGTTATGAGCTGTACATGACCAGGGTTCATTTCCTGTATAGAAAGGGGATAAAGGGGCCTCCCGATTGGCACAGCGGTAAAAGGCACTGCACCGCAGTGTTGAGGTGTCACTACTGCCTGGGGTTTTATCCCAGGCTGTGTCACAGCCAGCCATGAGCGGGAGTCCCATAGGGCGGTGCACAATTGACCCAGCGTCGTTTGGGTTAGGGCAGGGTTTGGCCTGGGGGCTTTCCTTGGCTCATCGCGCTCTAGCGACTCCTTGTGGTGGGACTGGCGCCTGCAAGCTGACCTCAGTCGTCAGTTGAATGGTGTTTCCTCCGACATATTGGTGCGGCTGGCTTCCGGATTAAGCGAGCAGGTGTTAAGAAGCAGCGCGGCATGGCAGGTCATGTTTCGTAGGATGTATGATTCGACCTCTGGTCGGGTAAAATTATTACTAAAATCTTTAAAAGAAGTGGGAGAGAGACAGAGAGCGTTCTTGTTGAACGTAAAACCACATCAGACTGGGTTGTGGTCCGGAGGACCCTGAACCCTGACCTGGTTTAAAGTGAGAGTTTGTGGAGGTCTTGGTCTAGTCCCCATCACTACATCTCTGTAGCAGATGACCCCTCAAATCTATCAATGTCTAGCACATTGAGAACATTTATCATATAGTTTCTTATATACTGAAATATTGAATTTGCCAATGTGGTGTATGTCGCCCAATTATCGAATATTTGTAATCATTAGCAGTCTATTTTTCAGTAGAGGGTAACAGGATAGTAGTGACTTTTGGTCCCAAAACCCTTAGAGAAAGCTGAAATATATTTTAGTGACTATGATTTTGGGGTTAAACTAGTCTATACACTGCAATAGTTGCTATCTGCCACTGAGGGGGCCATGTACACACAAACAGAAGCAGGAAGAGAGTTACAGACAGTGAAGTCTATTAACATTAGGAAGTAGAGTCATTCTGGCTGGTACCTTGGTACTTGACAAACATTTGTGCTTAGGTACCATATAATATACCAGGCAGACTGAAACCTTCACATGGCTCTTCATCTCTCCCTCCTCCTCATCCTCCTCTTCCTCATCCTCTACAGAGTATCAGCAGGTATGTGTAACATGTTTCTATAAAGGGCTGAAGTCCAGTGGGTCAATTCACTGTAAACACGGTGTAATAAATCTCAATCATTAACAAGCTGTTTTATAGTGTATAAGCAATGGGATTTTTATTCTGCAGTGCAGATTATGTTGAATTCCAACCTAAATGTGTTTTGTGTTGATGTGTCCACAGTGAGGTATGTGTCTGTGCAGACAGGAGGCTCCATCACCATCCCATGTCACTATGATCAGTATTACATAGATCATGTGAAATACTGGTGTAAAGGGTATGATTGGATTAGTTGCTCCACTCTAGTACGCAGTGACCATCCTAAGAGCAGTGGTAATGCCTCAATCTCTGATGACATCAACCAGAGAGTCTTCACTGTGACCATGACTGATCTGGAGCCAGAGGACTCTAAGACTTACAGGTGTTTTGTGGAGATCAATGGAAGACCAGATATCATGATACAACGGTTCTACCTATCTGTCACTCCAGGTAAGATCCCTGCAACTCTTACAATTCAGTAAAGTAGAATAGGTAGTTCTCAGTAATGATGAGACAATCAGAAATAGCCTGCTTCCACAAACTAAATGACTGGTGTTCTCATTTCATTTCCTGGTAACTGGTTCCTTGTCTGGTAACTTGTATCACCATTATTGTTCAAGTTGACCTGAAGAATGTAGGTATATGACTACTTTATGTTCTCTATATGTAGATTGTGGTGTAAACTTTGTTTAAACTCCGCTGTCTGTATTCTGTCTCTCAATGTTGTCTATCACTAGCAGCACCATATCACCAAGTAACACTATTTGTAAATGTACTTGGCGAAAAAAGGTCATACTGATTCTATCAATTGATAATTTTAATGAGGATATTTTGGAAGTAAAAATACTTACTAGAAATAAAGTTCTGCTGCTGAGTTCTTTCTTTGGTGTCTGTACCTCTGTGTTCAGGTACTCCAGAACTCTATGTGGACCAACAGGAAGTGACTGGAGTTGAAGGAGGGAGTGTCACTGTCCGTTGTTACTATAGTAACTCTGGAGATATAAAGTGGTGCAGGATGCGTGGTGATTGTGTGTCGTATTCTGGGACTTTACATGGAACAGTGACATTAAAGGATATAAGTCTGGCCAACAACAGAACAGTCTTAACAGTGACTATGAGTGGACTGAAGATGGAGAACACTGACTGGTATTGGTGTGAAGTGGGAGAACTAGAGATGCCTGTTCACATCACTGTCAGTCAACATACTGCAACACAAATCATCACTGCTATCAGTAAGTACATTCTGTTTGGGTCACAAAAATAGTTTAATATCCATAGTTACTTCACATCAAAATTATGTAACTTTCTTACATTAGTATCACAATGAAAATATGTATTTATTCCATGATTTACTTCTTGACATAGATGATATTCAGTGAAAATCTGCTACTGTTTTCATAATCCTTGACAGCAGATTCACTTTGTTTCATCGTCTGAAACAAATTGGAATATTGACTATGAATGTGATGTTGCTATACAACCTGACTATTTGGTATACCAGTAATTTCATTAATGGCATTGTTGTTTTACCTCACAGCAAACCAAGCTGAGGGGAACATGGAGGAAGTCCACCAGAGGTTATTATCACTCATTCAGCTGTATTATCCCACATATTATGGCAATTGTTTGATAATATGAACACAAAGAAACATTACAATTCCATCATACACTACAACAGTTAAAGCTAACCAAACTCCCTCCCTAAATGCATATAGAGACTGTTAGCACTTCCTCTTGGTTGGAACATTTCTTTGGAGAAGTAGCAGCAATTTTTGTGTTATTCTCACTCATTTGCAAGGACAAGTTGCACTCTTAAAAAAACAACGTTATTTGTATAGTAATTATCTCAATAATAATAATGTAAACTTCCACACATGTGAATAGCTAAATAATTGTTCCATTTATCACAACAGTGTAAACAACAAGTTATTACTTTTTCACAAATGATCAATTTATAATGATCTATTTTAATTGTGTTTTTGATTCAAGTTCTTCTATGTAATCCATCAGGTCCATAGATGTGAAAGTCCTACTGATTCCTTGGGGCATGTTGGTGGTGGTGACAGCTGGTATCCTAGTCACATGGAAGATGTGGACAAAGCATAGTAAGTAGTCATTTTATGTGAATATAAAAAAGGAGAATAGTTAAGAAAAATACCAAATGTGTTGACATTGTGACCAACAGTATATTGCTTAACTGTTATTGATCTTGAATGGCAAAAAGTATTTGGAGGAATTGTCTATAAGAAATCTATTCAGAGGTATTATTGTACTATAACAAACTCAGAAGTAATTGACATCTCCCTCTTTATTCCAGAGGACAATAAGGCCAAGGACCAGACAACTAACAACTCAGTGGTAGGATACACTTATTTTATTATATTCTATTATTTTCAACCATCTGCTTTTCTGTTCATGATTTGGGATCATCTACCATTTGACTCTAGTGTTACCTCTTCAGTTGGTTATCAATGAGTTGACATAAAAGGTCCCATATTCTGATCCCAAGGTCTTATAACACTCAAGACGTTGAAAAATGATGTTTAAAAGACAGAGAACAGGAAGCTGTCAGTTCACTAAATATATATGTGACTGCATCCTATCATGGAAACAAACTGTGGTTTAGCTGGTAAATAGACAAGTCCTGTATCTCTTTGCTATTTATTTCTTTGCAGTCTGCTGACCCTGAGCCGGACATTTCATACAGCACAGTGAGCCAAACCAGAGAAACAGCACAGCAGGTACAAACTGAATAAACCTGGTTTTGGTCTGTGGAGATCTTGGACTAGTACCAATCACTCCATCTCTGCATGGAGCTAAGGTTCTCTCTCTCTTTCTCTCTCCTCCTCCATTTCTGCAATGTGAGTGGGTTTTCTCTCTCTCCTCTCTCTCTTTCCTTTCTCTTCTCTTCCCTCCCCTCTCCCCTCTTCCCCCTCTCTCCCCCTCTCCCTTTTTTCCCCCCCCCCTCTTTTCTCCTCTCTCCCCTTCTCTCCCCCCTCCTCCCCTCTCCCTTTTCCCCCCTTCTTAAATTCTTAAAATTTCAATTTTGGGTTTTTTCCCAGGAAAGTGGGTTTATGCCAAACAATAATGTAAATAAAAGGAAAAAAACAAAAAAATTAACAAAAAATTACAAAAAATTCAAAAAAAAAAACTTTTCAAATGCAAAAAAAAACAGGGAACAAAAATAGAAAAGTACAAATGGGAAAATAAAAAAAACATAAAAGGGTTGTATTTACAAGGTGTTTTTTTTCAGGGTTGCCCTTTTAAGGTGGCAAAGGTCACAAATCTGAGTGTGTGGAAACCCTGTGGTTTTTCACCCAGTAGAATGGGAGTTTAAAAAATTGGGGTGTTTTAAAAATTTTTGTGGACCTTTTGTAATTGGGGGAAAATTGGTTAAAAATGGTCATACATTGGGGGATTTTGGGGAAGTGCAGCTCAGTTTCCCCCTTTTTTTGGGCGTGTGCATAGCCATCTTCTCTTGAGAGCCAGGTTGCCAGGTGGCCTTTCCCTTGCAAGGGCCTGGGGTTGCTTAAATTTTTTTTGGGGTCAAAGGGGGGATTTTTTTCCACGGTACCCTTTTAGGCCCAAAAAGCATTTTAGTTTTCTTGTTTTTTTTTTTTTCTTTTCCCAAAGTGCAAATAATTCTCTTTTTTTTTTCATGATTTGGTGGGTTAAAGTGTTTGTTTTTGTTGTCCCGGGGCTTGTGGGGTCGTTTGTTTGTGAAAAAACCCGGCCCCCGGGGGCCCCGGGGCTCTTCTCCCAATTTCTCTTTGGTAGTTGGGTTTTGGGGAATTTTTTTGGGCCCCCCCCAAAAAAAATTTTTCGTCTTTTTTTTTAAATTCCCTTTTTAATTTCTTTGGGTATTGGTGTTTTGTTTACCCGGGGTTTTTCAAAATTTTTTTCCTTTTTTCCCCATTTTTTTTTGGTTGGGGGGGGGCCCCCAACCCCACAACCAAAAGGGGGGTTTTTAAAGATTTAATTTTTTGGGGTCCAATTGGTTAAATTTTTGTTTTTTAAAGGGATAGAAGGCCCCCCCTTTTCTTGTCTCTCAGATGTTCAACAGGTTTTGGGATTGGGGGGATTTTGGTTTGAAAGTTTTTTTTTTTAGGGGCAAAAGGCCCTTGGGGAATTTATTTTGGTCAAAATGGTTTTTGGAAAACCATTATTTTTTAAAGATTTTGTGGCCCGGGCTCCCGGTTGTCAGAAAAATCTGGGCGGGAGGGGTTTGTTGGGGCAAAGGGGGGGGCCGTTTCGCAACGGGTTTTGCTTCAAGGTTTATAGGGGAGGGGGGGCTTTAAACGTTCCCCCCTTTTTTGAAATTGTTTGGGGGGGGTTTTTGCCCTTACCCCAGGTTGGGAAAAGGGTTTTTTTGTTTTTCCACACTTTTTTTGTTTAAATTTTAAATTGTAGTTTTTAAACCCCACTTTAAATTTTTTGGTTTTTTCCCCTTGGGGAAAAGTTTTTTGGGTTTAAAAGGAAAAAACCCCCTTTTTTTTTGGTTTTTTTTGCAAAAAAGGGGCCCGGGGGAAAGGTTTCGGAGGGGGGTTTTTTTGGGTTAAAAAACCAATTTGGGGTTTTTTTTCTTTTTTTTACGGGAAAAAAGGTTTTTAAAAAGGAGGGTTTCCCCCCCCCCCAAAAAACCCCCTTTTTTGGGGCAAATTTTCCCAATTTTTGGTTTGGGGGGGCCCCCTCCTTTTCCAAAAGGGGAAGATGCCCGAATAATTTTTAAAAATTTGGGCAATAAATTTTTCGGTTTTTTTCTTTTTAAAAAACCCCCCCACCAAGGTTTTTTGGGGGGGGTTTTTTTTTCCAAGTAAATTGGGGCCAGTGGGGTTTGGGATTTTTTAGGTTTGATTTTCATTATCTTTTTTTTTTTTTTGTTTTTCCGAACCAAAAAAAATTTGGGGAGTGGTTTTTCCTCCTCCATTTTTGGGAAGCTCTTCGTGGGTTTGTTTTTTTTTTTTTGGGGGGAAAAAAATTTTTCAAATTTGAGTGTTTGGGCATGTGTTTTTTTTTTGGGGGGTTAGTTATTTTGAATTTTTTTTCCAGGGTTTTTTTTTTCCCCGGGGGGGGTTTTTTTCTTTCAAATTTTTTTTGGTATTTCTTTTTTTTTAGGTTTTTAAATTTTTTTAAAAATTAAACCTTTGGTTTTTCTGTTTGGGGTTTTTTTTAGAAATTTTTTTTTTGTGGGGGGGACAAAAAATTTTTTTTTTTTTGCAATTCCCTTTTTCGGGAACTTTTCCAAAGTTTTTAAATATTAATTTTTGGCTATTTTTTTTTGGTAGGTTTTCCCCTCTTTTTAAATTTTACCTTTCTTAAAATTTTCCCCTTTCCGGCTTTGATGCCCCCCCTGAGGTATTGCCGGTTTAAAGGGGGCCGTTGTTTTAAATTGGTTTTTGGTTTAAACGCGGGGGAAAGGGTCCTTCCTTTTTGTTGCGGCGCCGTTTACCTCGGGCCTTTTCTTTTTGGGCCCAGGAAAATGGTTATCACGTTGCCTGCCTTCCCGGGCCCCCCAAAGGGCCTTGGTCATCTTTTGGGCAACATTTTAAAAAGTTCCCCCCTAAAAAACCCCCCTTTTTCTTTCTCTTTTTGAAAACCCCCCAAAAATTCATTTAAACCCCCCTTGGAAAAAGCTTAAAAAACACAAACAAACAAAAATACGTTTTTTTTGGGCCCTTTTTCCCCCCCCCGGTTTTTTGTTCCCTCAGCTTCTTTCCCCCGCCAACCCCTTTCCCGGGGTTTCCCCCCTTTTCCCCGCCCATTTGTTTCCCCCAAAAAAAAATTTTGTCCCCCAAAAACAACCCAATTACCCCCCAAAACCCCCCCCCCCCCCCAAAAAACCCCCAAAAACTTTTTAAAATTTTTCCCCAAAATTTTAAAAAAGCCTGTTACCCTTTTGTTCCCCTTGGGGGGGGCCCAAAAAAAGAAAAAAACCCACACCCTCAGGTGAAACGGGCTTTTTCCCCTTTTTTGGGTTTTTTTTGCATTCCAAAAAAGTCAACAACACCCATTTCGGGTTAAAATTTTAAAACCCAAAAATTTTTTGTTTTAAATTTTTGCCCCCAAAAAACCCCGTTAAAACCCCGGGGAGCCCTTTGGGGTTTGGTGACCAAAAACAGTGTGGGGTGGGCCAAACCCAAATTCTATTTTTCCCCAAAAAAAAACCCTAAAATTAGGTTGGGGGGGGAGGGGGCCCTTTTAGAAATTCCATTTTTTGGGACCTTTTTGAATTTTAACTTTTCCAAAGGGGGGGGGCAGAGGAAAAAATGGGGGGACCTTGGGGAGTTTTCCTTTCCTGGAAGGCCCCACCCCTCTTCGTTTTTTAAAACACCCCCAAAGCCCTTTTTATCCTTTTTCCCCCCAAAACCCCCACCTTTTTTGGCCCAAAAAACCAAAACCCCGCCTTTTTTTTCCCCCCCCCCCAAAATTTTTAACCCCCCCCCCTTCCCCCTTTTACTTTTTTAAAAAACTTTTTCTCATAAATTTTTTTTCCCCTCAAAAATTCAAAAAAACGTTTTCTTTATTAAAAAAAGTCCCCTTAAAAAAACTTATTCTTTTCCCCCCACAAAACCCAAAAAATTTTTGTGTAAAGGAATCAGAAAAATGGAACTAACAAATTTAAAAAGGGCAACAACCGGTTTTTTTTCCCCTTTTAAAAACCCGTAAAAAAAAATAAAAAACAACCCCCCCCCCCAAACACAAATTTTTTAAACCCCCCCAAAAAAAAAAAAATTTTTGGGGCCCCCCAAAAAAAAAGGGGGGGGATTTTTGGGTTTTCCCCCTCCCGGGGGGGGGTGGGGGCCCCCGGGGGAAAAAAGGGGGTTTTTTTTAAAAAAATTAAGAGGGCCCCGCAAGGGGGAGTTTTTTTAAAATTTTAAAACCCCACCCCTTCCTTTTTAAAAAATTGGGGTTTTGGGTTTTTTGGGGGGGGGGGGTTTCGTCCCCAAAATGTTTTTCCCTAAATTTTTTTTCCAGGGCCCGTTTTTTGCCCCCCCCCTTTTTACGCCCCCTCCGACGGGGGGGGACTAAAGGGGGGGACTTTTTTTAAAACCCTTTTGGGGACGACCTGAGCCCGCTGCCGGGCTTTTAACTTTTAAAAATACCCCCTTCCCTTTTTAAATGTTTTGCCCCGTTTTTTAAAAAAAAATTTTGTTTGAAATTTTTTTTTTATCCCATCCTGTTTAAAACCTCGGGAAAAAATCGGCCCGTCTCCCCCCCCCATGGAAACCCCCCGGGGGCCCCCTCCCCGGGCCCTTAGGGGTTATTCTTTGCCGGGAAAAAAAGGGGGTTTTCCCCATTTGGGCCCCCCAATTTTTAACCCCCATTTAAAAACCCCCCCCACGCGGCATTTCCCGGCC